TTCGTTATCACTCCGCTATCTCCATGTCTGCAGCCTGAGGACGTCAACTATGCCTCCCAGATGCAGGTGTACAGAGACATCGGAGAGGAGATGCTGCTCCACGCCTTTGAAGGCTACAATGTGTGTATATTTGCATACGGGCAGACGGGTGCAGGCAAAAGCTACACCATGATGGGCCGACAGGAAAAAGACCAGCAGGGAATCATTCCTCTGGTAAAGCAGGAAGCAGTTTTAAATACAGTTTAATGAAAGACAATTTTGTGCCAATTTGACTCCAACACAGCAGTTTGTAAAGTGACAGTGGCATTTTGTTTTCTAGCTGTGCGAGGACCTTTTCACCAAGATCAATGACAGCAATAATGAAAACAGCATGTCCTACTCAGTGGAGGTGAGTCATGCTAAACTCTGATATGCCTTTTGGCAGGCTTCCCTGTTTGCATTTAAAGAACCTTTTTCAGGTAGTTTGGCTGAAACATGTGAAACAGAAGCAGGTTATATTGGAATTGTGTTGTTTTATCAGATAGTCAGAAGCTAATTCATTCATTTTTAATCTTTTATTGTTCCGGTAGCAGCAAGTCACTTATTACAACGAATTAATTAGTCATTAAACATCTTTTATGACTGCCTTCTCTTCTCCCTGCAGGTGAGTTACATGGAGATCTACTGTGAGCGTGTGCGTGACCTGCTGAATCCCAAAAACAAAGGAAACCTGCGTGTCAGAGAGCACCCGCTGATGGGACCCTATGTTGAAGATCTATCAAAGCTAGCCGTCACCTCCTACAATGACATCCAGGACCTGATGGATTCTGGAAACAAGGCCAGGTAAAGTGTTAAATTTAAGATCAGTTGTTTAGATTTGATAATTGTTATTTTTAAAAACCCATGAGCATGTATTTTTTTTTTTTTTTTCAGGACTGTGGCTGCTACCAACATGAACGAGACAAGCAGCCGCTCCCACGCCGTCTTCAACATTATCTTCACTCAGAAGAAACACGACATGGAGACGGACAACACGTCAGAGAAGGTCCGGTGCAAATCACCCACAAACGAAGATTTTATTCTTCCATGCTTCTGACCACAAACAAATCAATAAGGAGAGTTGAGGCAGAAATGGTTTTATGACCTTTTATGGCCTGTTAGGAGGCCGTGTATGCGGTGCTGCTATCTGTTGAATGTGTTTCTGTATTGACTGGTAAACCACGCTTTACTGCCAGCTCTCCTTTTCAGCCCCGGGTGGATTGTGTTTGCTGCGGTGGATATTTAGTCCTTTTCAGAGAGGGTGAATTATTTTGAAAATATATATATATATATATATATATATATATATTGTCTTCCTAGGTCAGCAAGATCAGTTTGGTTGACTTGGCTGGCAGCGAGAGAGCAGACTCAACTGGAGCTAAAGGAACAAGGCTGAAGGTGAGATGATGTTGCTGTTTCAGTGCTATGCAATGGCAAACAAGTCTTTTCTTGAAGAAGTTATTCATTTTCATCTAATTTCTCTAAATATTTGTAAAATTTGACAGAATAAGTATTTAATATTCCCTTTCAGGGGGTTTAATGGTTTTACAAATGATTTTGAGTATTTCATTACAGATTGTAAGGTTAAAAATATATATTTTATAATCTTCTAAAACAAAGGGCACACCAAGAAAAACACAATAAGTAACACACCAAAAATGTAAACATTGTGGAAGAAAATGATCATGGAAAAGTAAAAAATGAATAAATACACAAGGATAAAGAAGCAAAGTAAAAAACAGACTCCAGAGTTTTCTACAACAAAATAAGAAACATAATTTAAAGTTGAACTCATAAATATGCACTAATTGGTACCTAATTACATCTTTCAACAAACTGATCCATTTTCATAAACTTAGAATTAATAATATATAGCAGCGGGCGCTGATTTTGGACAGCCGTGGTTCTTTGAGCCCCGTTCTCCATGTGTCCGTAATGGGTTCAGCCGCATTCTTCCCCGACTCAGATGTCCCATCTTGAGCCTCTCCACCCTGCAACAATTTGCCAACTTCAATTGGAGTCTTCTATATACTCATCTCTCAACCTTATCTAGCTAGCTCACGTTATAGCAGCATTTATATAAAAAATAGTATAAACAATATGTGTCACTATACACCCAAGCCTGTTGCCATTGTTTAGTGCAGCATTTTACATTGATTTCATTTGGGGGTCAAATTTACTCCGCCATTGGTTCCAGGTATAAATGATTGAACGCCCCAATCAATTTCATCTTCTTTTGAGTTACATGACTTTTAAAATGCCAAATGAGTAAAAAAGACCCTTTTGGTGGTTTCAGTGCTAATTTGAAGTAATATATCTAAAATGTACTCATGATTAGATGGAAAAATACATGAAATGGCTGATTTCTATTTTTTGTGTGTGTGTTTGCAGGAAGGAGCAAATATCAACAAATCCCTGACCACTCTGGGAAAAGTGATTTCTGCTCTGGCTGAACTAGTATGAACTTTTATACTTTCCTAAAAATCTTACTTTAAAAACCTATTTTGTGTGTTTCAATTACAAATGCTGGTGTTTCTTCTTCTCATTTTAGGACTCTGCACCAAACAAGGTTAGTATACAGCAGCACACAGGGTATATGGAGCAGATTTCTTTAGGGTAAACTTCAAATATTATTGTGATTCCTTTGTTGATAGAACAAGAAAAAGAAGAAGGTGGAGAGTTTCATTCCCTACAGAGACTCGGTGCTCACATGGCTGCTGAGGGAGAACTTAGGTATGCAAATGCAACCAGAAAAAAAGAGGTTTTAGCATAAGAAAAAGATTTTCTGTGTTAGTTAATGAAATATATTTGTGTATCTGTTTTAGGAGGAAACTCTCGCACAGCCATGGTGGCTGCCCTTAGCCCTGCTGATATTAACTATGATGAAACCCTAAGTACCCTCCGGTAAGGAAAATATATTAAAGCTCTGTTTTTGGGATCATTGAATTTGACATTTTTCACTGTAAATGCATTTTAAAGCTAAAGTCACACTGTCATACTGCAGGGTCAAGCAAATGAATAGAAGTGCTGATTAGATTAGATTTTAAACTCTGCATACATCTGCAGAAAAGTGGAGTTCATGTAGCTCTGGCAAGCAAAACCATTAATGAACACTTCACAAACGTATTTTTCTGTTCAACCAGCTGTGAGACACCATCCTCACTTATATTTCATATTATCTGCTCACTGTTATTCAGTACAGAGAGGCTGAGGAATGATAACTTATCGACCACCTTTTAGGTACGCCGATCGTGCCAAACAGATCCGCTGCAACGCCGTGATCAACGAGGACCCCAACAACCGGCTGGTGCGCGAGCTGAAAGAGGAGGTGGCTCGTCTCAAAGACCTGCTGTACGCACAGGGCCTGGGCGACATCATCGAGAGTGAGTGTCACAGCAGCTCACGCACACGTGGCACACACGTGCACGGGAAGCTGGTAGTTAAAAGCTTTTGTGCAGGTTATGTTTTTTCTCTCAGTACATTGAAGACAGAGGATTAACTTGGGATGTGAGCGCCACTCTCACACAGTCTCTTCTCTCCTCTGTCCTATCAGCGTATCGCTGCACTGGTCCTGTCATCACTGGTTTGAAATGTGTGTATAACTGTAGCAAGCCTGCGCTTTGCAGCTAAAAAGAAATGAATCCCGAGCCGACTTTCCTCCTCCACCACACCAGAGACCAAACTAACAATCCTGAGAGAGTGTACATGGAGTCAGACAATGCACTAATTGATTAAAAAAATAAAACGAACTTTACAGAACAACTAAAATGATCTTTGTAGTTAAAATCTTGTTAAAGATGTAATCCATTGGCTAAGAGAAAAAAATGGCCTCCTTTCTTTTTTCCATGGTGTTACATGTTTCTTTTACTCCCCAAACCTCGAAATACTTTTAGCCACAAAAGTATGTGACCCCACAGTGATGCTTTGTTTAAGAGATGCCGATAGGAAAACAGCGGAAACTGTCAGATTCAGGGTTGTCTTGAATCTTGCTGTTATTTAACAAGATTAGTGACCATGGAAGAAAGGACTGACTGAGAGGATGCCATTTTAGATTGTGTTTTGCAGTCTGGTCCTCTGTGTGTGGAGCTGCTGCATTCGATGCTCTGAGTCAGGTGCTTAGAGGCCTGCACCGCCGGGATCTTTGCTACAAACGCTGTGCCAAACAGCTTAAAAACATCAGTTCTTCTTTCACAAAAATAAAAATCAACACTCTATATTTGGTCCTCATGCATTGTAGTGATGTATCTATTATTTTTTTTAGTACACTTTGTCCTAACCATGCTTGCTTGCGAGCTTGTTGTGTGTGTTTGCGTGCAGTTCAGTGTCAGAAAAAAAAAATCCCTCTGGTATTTAGCATTCAGTCTCTGACATTGTATGCCGTGTCAGTTTGAGTTGCTCTTTTTTTTCTCCGTCTGCGATGGCTTTGGAAAGCAAATACGTCTGCTTCTTTGATCCATTATTTGAGCTTTCTCTTCTTTTTTTGTTACCCTCCCTGTTGTTCCCTTATTTTATTTTTTTTCCTTTTAAATCCGTATCCCTGCGTGGTCCTCTCAATCCTTGATGTCTTTCCTTGAATACCTCGCGTCTGCTCCTACCTTCCTTCCTTCCTTCCTTGCTTTCTTCCATGCAACGCCTCTCTTTCTGGCAGACCTGTGCGATTACAAGAACTTTGTGAATAATCGCCAGGCTGTCAATCAAAGGGGTGATCTCTCCGCAGTGACCCACGCCATGACGGGAATGAGCCCCTCACCCTCGCTCTCAGCCCTATCCAGTCGAGCCGGCTCCATCAGCAACCTCCACGATCGCATCTTTAGCCCGGCCAGTGAGGAAGCCATTGAAAGGCTCAAGGTAGGAAAAAAAAAGGGGATGAAGATGCATAGATAGAAAAAGTGGATCTGGGTTGTGTGAGTGGGAATGAAGGGAGGAGAGGGGCTTAAGCGTTTGGTGGGAAGACTCCTTGATGAATACGAGAATGAGCAGAGGTAATACTTCCGTTTTGAGAGCAGGCTGTTTCTCCATCACCAACAGGAAACCGAGAAAATCATCGCAGAGCTCAATGAGACATGGGAAGAGAAACTGCGCCGTACTGAGGCCATCCGTATGGAGAGGTTTGTCCAAGCTCTTTATGCTGTTTGATACTCTATGAATGCAAAACCACCTGAAATTATCATTAAATTTAACATTTGAGTATCTGCCTGGCTTTTCAAGGCAGTGCACCTACAAGTAAAAAAATCAATTGTCCATTTTTGATTGGACTTATTTCAAGGACATGTTACGGCAGTGCGTATGAGTGTGGCAAATTACACATTTGCCTAATGAGCAAAAGATCTCTGTTTTGATACCAGGAGGCAGTACAGATTGTTGTGTCGGGAATGCATTTTTTTTGCATGCATGCTAATTTTTTTTTTATTATACATTGTGGAATTTTCAGTAGAGGTTCACAATGTTTTTGGCCATATGACAAAAGCAAAATTAATTATTACACCATGAGATTGAGATCTCTGAAAGCTTTTAGTGAAATTTCCTGTTCATATCCCTCTGAGGATGAATTTCTCTCACCGGCAAGTGATCCAAACATCCTTCCTCACAACTGAAAAAGTCAAATATACAAGTTATACAAGTCAAATTTGTTTGTATAGCATTATCAAGCATAATTCAGATTGTTTTACATTGGACTACAGACATGACATGATATGCTTTTACCTAAAGTTTTGCAAATCATGGAACTCATCGATTACAAAAAACAAAGAAGCACATGAAAAGTGTGAGATTTTATACAGTTTGTATAAGGAACACAAAACATTATGCATTGCATGGATAGACTGTCAGTTTATTGAAATAAAAAAAATAAAATAGCATTATTGTAAATTATCATCTGAGTTCATGGATTGACTCCAACTCTGATTAACTCTGTAGAGAGGCACTGTTGGCTGAGATGGGCGTTGCCATGAGAGAAGATGGAGGCACAGTCGGCGTCTTCTCCCCCAAAAAGGTACAGGTCCTCAGTCTGTGCCACGCACTTGCCAAACAACTTCTCAACCTCTTGAACGATCAGACCAAACTCACACAAACACTGAAACACATTTCTCTTTCAGACGCCTCATCTGGTGAACCTCAACGAGGACCCACTGATGTCCGAGTGTCTGCTCTATTACATCAAAGACGGCATAACCAAGTAAAGAGTTCTATAAGTTCAACTTGACATGAAATCCATCCGGATACTGTGCAGTTTTTAGTAATTTAGATATATTTTTTTAAATCTTCCTTCAGGGTTGGCCGTGAAAATGCCAAAACTCGCCAAGATATTGTTCTTAGTGGCCATTTTATCAAGGATGAACACTGCACCTTCAGCAGCACCACCGGCCCTCAGGGAGAAGGTAAAGTCTCTCCCTGTAGACAAATCTGCTAAAAAGATCCGTCTTTCCAGTCACACGTACATTTAACGCTTTTCTGCAACAGGATGCATCATTCTTGACCCGTGTGAGGGAGCAGAGACTTATGTCAATGGCAAGAGAGTGACCTCACCTATTGTCCTGAGGTCTGGTAAGTATTAGATTGTCTTTGATTTTCTAATAAATTTGGCAAGTCCTGAAATATGTGTCTATTTAAGCAGCGGTGTAATTTTTAATGCTTGAGTCAGATGTTTCAACTTTCATGCTTCCTGCTGCATTTTTAAGGAAATCGCATCATCATGGGCAAGAGCCACGTGTTCCGCTTCAACGACCCCGAGCAGGCTCGTCTGGAGCGGGAGAGGACGCCGTGCGCCGAGACACCCGTGGAGCCCGTCGACTGGGCCTTTGCTCAGCGAGAGCTGCTGGAGAAACAAGGCATCGACATGAAGCAGGAGATGGAGCAGAGGTGGGTGCGGTCGCATGAGTTGTTTTAATGATATAAATATATGTCTTGGGAAAGTTCTTTGGTGTTGACGAAAATGAAATGTTGCAGGCTTCAGGAGCTTGAGGATCAGTACCGCAAAGAACGAGAGGAAGCCAGCAACCTGCTGGAACAACAGCGGCTGGTGGGTGCTCGCATGATCGCCATCGATCATAAAAATGACTAATCAGTTCTAGGTGTTATGTAAATCCGCACCTCCTGATCTGTACTGCATGTTTTCTTTCAGGACTATGAGAGTAAACTGGAAGCCCTTCAGAAACAGGTGGACTCTCGGTACCTGGAATCACCTGAGGAAGAGGAGGAGCCTGAAGAGGAAGGTGATACTATCACTTTAATTTTTTTTTCTTTTAGTTTTGGCATCAGACTTTCATTTTATTCACATCAAGTTCTCGTGTACCCTCCAGTGCCGTGGACGAAGCGCGAGACCGAGCTGGCGCTGTGGGCTTTCAGAAAGTGGCGTTTCTATCAGTTCACGTCCCTCAGGGATCTGCTCTGGGGCAACGCCATCTTCCTCAAAGAGGCCAATGCTATCAGTGTGGAGCTGAAGAAGAAGGTTAGATGTTATTATTGTTGTAAGATATATGCTTTGGCAGTGCAATGATATTTTTTGTGCTATGTTTCATTGCACATTGTGTTAATTTTGTTGTAAACAAACAAAAAAAGGTCGTTGCTCTATGAGGTCTGAAAATCTTGATTGCTGGACTCGAATCTTTCATTATTTCCCTGACTTTAAATATGTGTCTTGTACTCATTGACATTGACATTACTGTGCACGTTGTTATTATTAGTTATTTATTTTTAACTAATAAAAAAAGGCACATGAAGGATTTAGGTCTTTGACAGATGTCATATGTGCAGTTAAAGTATTTAGAACAAATACTACAATTTCTCAGCTGTTCAATTTTCTCATTTTCTTTTTGGATTACTCAAATAACTGTGAGCTGCTGTTCGAGTCTAAATTATGATGCAATCTCGTGTTTTCTTCACAGGTGCAGTTCCAGTTTGTCCTCTTGACAGACACTCTCTATTCTCCGCTGCCCCCTGACCTGCTGCCTCCCAGTGAGGCTAAAGAGAGAGAGAGGCGACCGTTCCCTCGGACGATAGTGGCCGTCGAAGTACAAGATCAAAAGAACGGAGCCACACATTACTGGACTCTGGAAAAACTGAGGTACTCAGAGGTTTTGAGAGTCTGGCTTGAAGCTCGTTTCACGGTCACAATTTAATGGTCATCCCTGTAGAAAACAGCACAGTTCTTTTAATTCAAAGCACTGGTCAAAGTAGCTGACAGTTGATACACATATCTGCATGTCAGCAGATACTGACCTGTTGTTTTCTCCTGGCCCTTGTAGACAGAGGCTGGACCTGATGAGAGAAATGTATGATCGTGCTGCGGAGCTGCCCAGCAGCGCCGTGGAGGACTGTGACCACGCCCTGACAGGAGGCGACCCCTTCTACGACCGCTTCCCCTGGTTCCGTCTGGTCGGCAGGTCAGTAACATTCACAGATTTAAGTTCTTTTACTGCACAGTGAGGACGCCAACAAACCCATCATCACTTTCCCTCCTCCTCAGGGCTTTTGTGTATCTGAGTAACCTGCTGTATCCGGTCCCTCTGGTACATCGTGTGGCCATTGTAAGCGAGAAAGGAGAGGTGAAAGGCTTCCTTAGAGTGGCAGTGCAGGCCATCTCAGGTACAAATAAAAATTAGCTGTCAGATGCTGCACACATGTCCTCTTGTGCTGTTTTGTGTTTTTGGAAATGCTTGTTAACTATAAGCGTGGTTTGTGCTGTTGTGTCTCTATTTAGCTGATGAGGAGGCGCCTGATTACGGCTCTGGCGTGAGGCAGTCAGGCACCGCCAAGATCTCCTTTGAAGACAAACAGTTTGAGAAGGTACGTCTGGGCTGGTGTTGTGCAGCTGAGTCCTTCTTGTCAGATTAAAGTGGACATTTGGAGCCTGAAAAAAGAAATTCTAGTGATGTTCTGCTTGTAAAAAGAGGCAAAAGCTGATGATTTTATGTTCTGTTTAGTTTCAGACTGAGTCGTGTCCCGCAAATCTGTCGCACTCCAACACCTCGCAGGAAGAGCTGCGAATTGTGGAGGGAGAAGGACAAAATGCTGAGACTGGAATCTCTGCAGATGAAGTTAACAACAACACCTGTGAAGGTGAGTGGAGGGCGACGACAGGGACATGGTGGTCTTACTAGAAATACCTCATGAACGGAAATACATTTCCTAGCTGGCACATCTAATGTCAAAATGTCAATGCGTTTCTGAGTCTCCACTTCTTCTGTGCCATGCAGCCACACTGGATGCTCCTCTAAGCCCAGTAAAGAGTTTAGGTCTGGGTCTGGATCTTCCTCTGGACCTGTCTCCAGAGAAAGCACTGTCCCACCTCAAGATCGGCAGCACTTTCACCTTCAGAGTTACCGTCTTACAGGCCTCGAGCATCTCTGCAGAGTACGCCGACATCTTCTGCCAGTTCAAGTAAGTTAAAGCAAAGTTCCTGGAGTAACATCGTATACCTGATGTGAATTTCATTTAACAGTTCTCGCTGAATGCCTCTCCTAGTTCTCTCTTTTGTCTTTATGCAATTAGATACAAAGATTTAACAAATTCTAACTTACATGTCACATGATTTAGAGGTTAAACTCTAATCAAACTTAATGTATTTTCTAATTTACGGTCTTTGTTAAGTCTTTGTAATTTGAGAAGCTGACAGTGAAATAATCTGTGCTGTTGTTAGCCAGATGCTTTGGGTGATATAATGTGTAGGAAAAACAAAAAGGCAGGTCAGCTGATGAAATGACCTCACTGTTTTCAGCTTCATCCACCGTCACGACGAAGCTTTCTCCACTGAGCCGCTGAAAAATACCGGCAGAGGGCCGCCACTGGGCTTCTACCATGTCCAAAATGTAAGCAGCATTAAACGCTTATATTAACAAAGACAACTGATTGCCATTACTGTTCACTTCCTCTTGTTATTTGAAATATTATGTTAGCAGTCCATTTCTACAAACAGCTTTCTCAAGGGTTCATTCGAGTATTTTTCTCTCTGCCTCCGATAGATCACAGTGGAGGTGACCAAGTCCTTCACGGAGTACATCAAGACTCAGCCCATCGTCTTTGAGGTGTTTGGACACTATCAGAAACAGCCGTTCCCTCCACTCTGCAAAGATTTAATCAGGTCAGGAAGAAATCTGACCGGGTTACTTGAGATAATTTGATGAAAAAAAGTTTTTCTCACAGTTTCATGTTGGGGTTTTTTTTCAGCCCACTGAGACCTTCCAGGAGGCAGTTCCCTCGGGTAATGCCGTTATCCAAACCAGGTTAGCAATGACATTTCATGATGTATTTTATTATGTATTAACAATAGCCACCACAATCTAACTCCTATACATTAATCTAATGATCAAAAAAAGGGGAAATTAATAAATGAATGAATAAATGAATGAATGAATGAGTGCTCTGCAGGCTCCTCTGATTCTGCCTGTTTCCATTTTAATGAGATAATTATTTAATTCAATCATCTATCAATGATTTCCGTGTGTACTTGATTTAATATTCTTAGCAATAAATGAATGAATCTGCATCCTCTTCATTCATCCAGTGCCTGCCACCAAGCTCAACACTCTGACTCGCTCCACTGCGGGACCCTGTCACGCCAAATACGATCTCATGGTCTTCTTTGAGATCTGCGAGCTGGAAGCTAACGGAGAGTGAGTCCTGTCTGTTCCTGTTGCTGCTTAAATATGCAAAAGGGAAAGCATACACATGCATCTCACTTGTTATAATGTTATAATACATGTCTAAAAATGGATTATCCCTCTGCCTCCAGTTATATCCCGGCTGTTGTTGACCACAGAGGTGGGATGCCCTGCCATGGGACGTTCCTTTTACATCAGGTCTGACCGTGTTTACCTCTGCTGTCACAGTGCTGACTAAGTTCCTCATTTTAACCACTGAGATACTAAATCCGCTCCTCATCTTCTTGCGACTCCACAGGGCATTCAGAGGAGGATCAGAGTCACAATTGCTCACGAAACAGGAAATGATATTGAGTGGAAAGAAGTGAAGGAGCTCGTTATTGGTGAGTACGATATATATGGCCACGTTTGTCAGATTTTTGCAGGAAGAGCTCAAAAATCAAAAAAATGACCAGTCTCATTGTCACTTGTTTGCCCGCAGGTCGTATTCGAAACACGCCCGAGGCTGATGAGACCATCATAGACCCCAACATCCTTTCCCTCAACATCCTGACCTCTGGATACGTCTGGCCAAAACATGATGACAAGTAGGAATTGGTTTTTCCAGTCTTCCTTCAAAGCATTTTTCTCTTTGTTTGCTGAGTTTAAACTGTTGAAAGCTGGAGAGAAAGGTTTATAACTCACCTTATTTCTCTGTTAATCGCAGTGTCTCTCTGGGAGTTGATCACAGGTACCATCTTTTTCCATCTTTGTTTCTTAAAAACAACATGCAACAACGTGCATTTGTTCCTTAAGCTTTTCATGCAACGAAAGACTTTTCCCCACCGTAAACGTCACAAAAGAATGATAGATGCTGATTTTCATCTCTGTAGAACTTTCTACCGATTCGAGGCCGCATGGGACAGCTCCATGCACAACTCTCTGCTTCTGAACAGAGTCACACCCTATGGGGAGAAGATCTACATCACCCTCTCTACTTATCTAGAGGTGGGAGAGTGTTCGTGCATCTTTCTGCAAAATTTAAATAATTTTTTTTTTTAAATTTACTTTATTAATGTTTTGTATATTTGGGCTAGATGGAGAACTGTACTCAGCCGACAGTTATCACCAAAGACTTCTGCATGGTGTTTTACTCCCGTGACACAAAGCTGCCGGCATCCCGCTCCATCAGAAACCTCTTCAGCACCGGCTGCCTCCGGCCCTCTGAGAGGTACTGGATTAAGGATTTTAACTAGGGCTGTCAAACATAAGGATGGGGGGCCAGAAATGGTCTGGCCAAGACTCCAATCCAGCCCACTGTACAACTTTAAAAAAAAAGAAGAAGGATATTTTCTGTGACTTAATGAAAACTTTCTATTTTTTAATAGAAAGTTGGGAGGCTGTGATTACACATTTATCATGTAGTTTCACTGGTTTGGCACCATTTCAGAGCAAAGTTCTCGGTTGATGCATGCTTCAGAGTTTGAGATTTAAGTTTACGACAATCTGCTCTGCTTTCTCTCCTCAGTAACCGTGTCACTGGAGTCTATGAAATCACTCTCTGCCACGTGGCTGACAACGGAAGTCCAGGTGAAGCAGAATTAAAATAAAAATCAATAATAAATGAAAATGACAAAAACGTTTGTTCGTCCTTTGTCGTTCTAAATGTTTCTGTTCCCCTTCGTCAGGCATGCAGCGTCGTCGCAGGCGCGTGCTGGACACCTCGGTGGCTTACGTGAGAGGCGAGGAGAACCTGGCTGGATGGAGGCCCCGCAGTGACAGCCTCATCCTCGACCACCAGTGGGAGCTGGAAAAACTTAGCTTACTGCAGGAGGTCAGTGGAATTATATTATAGTTTATTTTTACAGTGCTTACATCATAATAGTCTCTTATATCTTAGGTTTTTCTTTGGACATTGGATGCTTTTGCACTCTTTATCCGTCCACTCCTGGTACCTCATCATTGTGACTGGAGTGGGTTTTTTTTAACCCGGAACTATGAATCATTCAAGCATAAAAAGCAACTAACCCAAGTGATAAACCAGTGTTTACATATATTAGACAACTTAGGAAAGAAATAATTATAATATTTGTGTCTTCAGGCATTTTGTTACTAGCAGCCTGTAACAGAAGCACATCATTGGTTCCCATCTCTTTAGTTGATAGCAAGAAAAATCCCAAAGATAACATGGTTTCACTGGTATGAAGTTGTATTTTGCACCAATAAGATGAATTCCAGGGGGCCACAGTAAGACTTGGGGTTGTGTGCAGTGTGCCCGTAAAACATTTTGAGGAAACTGGACATGTGGAGGACAGAAAAAAAGAAATGTCAGGCATAAAAACTCAGAAAGTCATGCCCTTATGAAATATGAAAAAAACCAGCAAAACCATTCTGAAGGAAATCTGGTAACAGATCTCGTAGAGTGATGAATCCAGATTAGACATTTGTGGTTCAAGTTGTCGTCAAAATGTGTGCAGGAGATCAGGAAAGAGGGACAACACTGAGTGTCTACAGCCATCTGTAAAACACAGTGGAGGCTCTGTCATTGTTTGGTGCTGAATCTCATCCAGTGGTATTGGAGATCTTGTTAAAACTGATGGAATTATGAACTCAGAGAAGCACCATCAGATTTTCATCCATCATGCAATACCATCTGATTGGCAACAGCTTCATCAATCAGCACAGGATAGATCCCAGACCTCAATATTATTGAAGGGGATCATCTTGACAATAGAGCAAGAGCCAGCCAACATCCAAAGAAGAGCTTTGAATATCCTTCAAGAAGCCTGGAGAACTATTCCTGAAGATTAGTGAAACGACTACCTACTTGACATATGCTAAATAAACTCCTGTTGGACTTTATCTTTCAAGTGAAATCCCCTTTCTTTCTTCTAAAGGTGGAAAAGACCAGGCACTATTTGCTGCTGAGGGAGAAGCTGGAGGCGACTCTGCATGCGGGACAGGATGCACTCTACAAAAATGGCGACATCATCGACTTTGCAAAGAGTCCCGTCCTCAGCCACAGCCCCAGCAGCAGCCCCGCCCCCGACAGCCCCAACCAGAGGCAGAGGGAGCTGGCTGCTAAGGTGACTGCTGCTCCCCTCATCTCTATTTTACACCTCAGTTCATTAGAGATTTTTTCCCTTTCTATTTTTACATACAGCTTCATCCAGCTTCATGCTTTTAAATCTTTTTTTATATTTTTCACTTTCCAGTGTCTGCGTCTGCTGATGCACACCTTCAACAGGGAGTACAGCCAGGTGAGCAGCAGTGCCAGTGAGAGCAAGGTGAGCCCCAGCCTAGGCCCTCTATAACCCAGTCCTTTAGTCCTTCTGAACCTAATGTTTACAGCCTTCACTAAATATTTAAGCCCCGCAGTCCTTCTTTCCAGTCACTCCCTCTGCTACATCTGTTCTCATTCTTTCATGTTTTTTAAACACTTCACACTTCCTTGTTGCAAAGAATATCATACTTTTCACTTCTCCTCTGTCTCTATAACCAGATGTAATGTTTAACCTGGCTTAAACATTACTCAGAGATAGTTGCTGGATAAAACATGCCTAATATGACAACCAGTACTGACTCAGGTCTACTGATTACTCTTTTACACCATGCATCCCTTCCTACTTTCCTCACCCCTCACTGTCCCTTCTTCTTAGACACTGTGAGGCTTCCACTTACTTAATAACTCTCCTGCATGTCCTCTTTAACATCAGCGAGGGGCTCTTAGACATACCAAGGATTTGTACCACAGTGCTGGTTCTGTAGTACATTGCTAGAAGATGACAAACTGATCAAGCTGTTCTCTGAATGCATGTCTGTGTCGTTTGTGCTTAATTGTTTGCTGGATTGTTTTGTCTGTGTTTGTCTCTCTTCTTGTCTTGCGTGTCCTTGCTGTTGCTCTGGCATGTGTGCATTTTAGCTTTCTGAGATGTCTGCGTCTCTGATGAGGGAGTCATCCTCTTCTACACTGAGCACGCTCACCCCGTCCTCGACCTGCCCCTCACTGGTGGAGGGACATTATGACATCAGGTGAGGAAAAAACGTCATTTTGAATACATCTTACTCGCTTTTTGGTGCTTTGTTCAGTGAGCAGTAAGTCTCATGTGGGGCCAGGTAGTATCAGTAAAAGCAAAATGCGGTTGTACTTTCTATAATGTGCAGAAACATTCAGAAACATTCCTCAGTTGTCCTCAGTTTTTTCAGTGTACGCTCTTAGATTACGAATGGCAGGTAATGCAAACACCACAGAAGACTTTTTTTCTGTTTTTTCAACAGTCACAACATTTAGCATAACTATGCAAAATAATTACTGCACTGTAATAATTAGAATTCAGAAGAAGGTATGTACACACACTGGCCACTTTGTTAGGTACACCTGTTCGACTGCTCTTTAGGTTAAGTTTTTTTCAGGGAGGGGAACTTTTTTGAAGTTCAGCTTTGTAATTCATTCACAACTGTCAGAAAAGTGCACTAAAGCCACCCTGTAGATTTTCATAGGAAGTAACCTGCTTACAGAGATACACCTTGTTGTTTTGTTACACATTGCAAATGTGTTTTAAATCAGAACTAAGAAAAGGGGCTTGAAATGTTTTCTTTTGTGTCTTGACCGTTGCTCCCTTTTTGATGCAGTGTGAACATGTTTGCGTTGTCTAGACACACTGATCCCAGTTCTGGAGCATCCACACCGGACCTAGATCCGTACAGCCCCGTGGACAGAAAGAAAATCCTCAGAGGATGCACCTTTGTTCCCGACATACAGGAGATTCGTGTCAGGTCAGATCACACTCGATACGTTTAATGCACCACCAGCTGCAATCACATGTTAGGAGGTCCTCTGGATCATTTTTCTTAGTATTCAAATCATAGGCCAGTTATTCATTTTGTAATTCTTTCAACATTCGCAGCCCTATTGTGTCAAAGAAGGGCTATTTGCACTTCCTGGAGCCTCACACCAGCGGCTGGGTGAGGCGTTTCGTGGTGGTGCGCCGGCCCTATGTGTACCTGTACCGCAGCGAGAGGGACAGCGTCGAGAGAGCCATCATCAACCTGTCATCTGCAAAGGTGGAATACAGTGAAGACAAACAGACGTTACTGCGGGTATGCTTCACTTCAGTCGTGAAACTCACTGCAGAAAAGACATATGACCATTTAACCGATAAATCTGAATGAGGTTTAGTAACCCCGGAGTATTTCCTGTCTTCAGACTCCCAACACGTTTGCTGTGTGCACCGAGCATCGTGGGATTCTGCTGCAGGCAGCCAATGACAAAGAGATGCATGACTGGCTGTATGCTTTTAACCCTCTGTTAGCAGGCACCATCAGGTGAGTGGGGGAGAATCTGTAAAGCATACAAATAGTTTACTATAGTTTACTATGAGTGAAAAGAGACCCAGAGTTTATATTTTGTCCACCTCCAAACACCCACACAAAGTTTTGACATTTTAATTATTCTGTTTTTTTCAGGAAATGGTCACTTATCCCCTAAAAATGAAACCTATTATTATATTGCTTATTAGATGCTATTTTTTCCCTTTATTTATCTTTCCTGCCTAACATATTCTTACTCTCCTTCTGTCAGGTCAAAGCTCTCCAGAAGAAAGTCGGTCCAGTCTTACCCATCGGCTCAGCGGATGTGAGAGTTGAAGGGGCCTGGCGAAAAACAGCGAACAAAACAATACAATCTAAAAGCTCAGCTCAACATCCTGCTTAATCGAGCATAGACCATATAGCAAACTTACACATAGAACCATTTAAATATCCCTCTATGTGATGACCGCCCCTGTCACTCACTCGCTCATCCACAAAGCCGACAAAAGCATTTTTTGCCATCACCACCACACTAACCCTGCATGGTGTTCTCCCTTACGACCTTTAGAAGAATTCCTAAGAAAATCTAACCACCCAAAACCCGTTACATAACTTACCTCTGCTGGGCGCTGGGACTAGTTCAGATTAGTTTTCATGTTTCCTGTAGATGTGTCATCTGTGAGGCTGCCAGTTTCCAGCAAAGACATAAGTCTCAGCTGTGAAGCAGACATTGAACATCAACCATTAACGGCATCAAGTGAGGGGAGGGGTAAAAACATCTTATTGGATGTTTTCTCTGTGTAGGTGTGTTAAGTGCAGCGATGATAGCTCCATATCCATCCTCCATACATATAATGTACATAATAATGTACATTGGCTTGGTGCTCTGCAGCATAGAGTATTTGTTTCACTGAAGAGGTTTCAGATAGCAGAGATTCATCATTGCTGTTGCTCATCATTTTAACCTTGAAGTAGCATGAGGAGGGATCCAAGCTGTTGTTTCTGTGTCTTTTTTTAAGATCTGGTTCTATGAAAACACGAGATCGTTTGCTAGATTAGGACGGCCCGTTCAGGAGAGATAATACGTGTCCTCGCCTTGTTATTGATATGTGCTTCGTCCTTCCTTTATTATTATTTATATTGTATTTTCTACATAACCCCTTGCAGGTATAACCCTGAAGGAAAATGTTTAATGTTGCTGTTGAAGCTCTCTGCACTGTATTTTATTGTGACAGGACCACTGACAGTTTTGTTGCATGGCACTTTATTGAGTTAATGTCTCGTACCATTTACTCTCTTATTTTAACCAAAGTGTTCTTTTGCTTTTTGTAATCGTTTCACTTACTGTGCATTTGTGTGCAAAGTTTTTTTATTTTATTTTATTTTAGTGGGATTTTAAATGAATAGTTTGACACTTTGGGAAAGTACTTTTCCTGCTGAGACTCAGATGAGAAGACAAAAAGCGCACTTATGATCCTGAACCCAGCAGATTTTTTTAGCCTAGCTTGGATAAAAAAGTAGGAAACAGAAAGCTTGGCTGTGGCCGTTAACAAAAAGGGAAAATAGCACGTCTGAAGCGAACTAAATGGGACTTGTTTAATGGGTGACTAAATCTTGCATAAAGAGCTGCAAGCTCTTTATGCAAGTGAGCTTTAGAAGTGAGCTTTAGAAGTGCTAGTAGGTGATTTTGTTGCTTGAGTTAATCAGTTTTCACACAATAAATCCACATTTCTGGCAAAAAAAGGTGAATTTCCCAAAAGGTTACACTATTCTTTTAACCGATGAGTCGCACCAGATTTGATCTAATTGGGAGGACAACTGTACTGTGTGTGGTTGTCATTTTTATTTTTATGGATCAGCAGAGTTGCTCCGTTCGATAAGCTGACTTGTGAAGACTCCTCTTGTAGCTCAATAGAAAGGACAAAGTTATAATCGACCGTGGACCTTCAGTCTTTTTAGGGCGGTTGCTTCAAGTGGACGAGAGCGTTGTCCTAGCACCAGATAGTGCCTCCCTTTCTTCACCTCTCTTTTCTTTCTCTCCTTGATCCTTGTCTTTAGCATTAATGCTAAATAAAGTTACTCACATGCATTCATGATTAGCTTTTATGTAAAGTTATAGTAAATGCTATTAATCTTTTTTTTAATTTTCATTATGTATATCAATGTTTTGGAGAGTGAATATTATCAATGATCCTCTATAGCATATAGTTATTGCCTGTAACAGACTGTAAATGTTTCCTTTGACAGCAGTCTCCCTGCTAGCTTTTGTACCGTAGCTGCTCGTATTTGACAGCCTGACGCTTGTGTCGGACATCGGTAAAGCATGACTAACTTGATGTTGTCATGACAAGGAATGGTTTGTAGGTCTTTAAAAAAAATCTATCGATAATGTTGCTTTGAAATCTAAAACATCTTTATCTTGTTATGCAAGAGTGACAACATTGGGTCAAATTTACCGAGTAGGCATATAATGCATTCAACACAGGCCTGGTCAGCCAGCCGGTCTGCCTGTCTCATTTCCATTTAAATGATAATGATCAGTTTTCTACACTTTGTAAGCAGAATTTAGGACTTTGTGTGCCACAGGCCAGCCAACTTGTTGAGCAACACAGCCTAAATCATGTACAAGTGTGTAGAAAATCTGACTCTAGTTAAATTTTGCATTTTATTGCAGTTTTATTATGGGTTTTTTTGCCACTTTGGGTTTTTTTTTTATGTTACTTTGTCTGTAAGTAAAGAGTTAATTGAGTATATTTATTGTTGAATGTGTTGGGTAGAACATGTTGTCTGCTGGTACAGAAGACAAATGGAAAGTTTTATTTGTAAAATATCAAACATAAATTATGTTCTTGAAAATTAATGCACTTACGCACAAAGCATCTTTATTTAATATGATTTTTGTATTAAGCATTTAGAAAATCTAGAGGACTTAATATATATATATATATATATATATATACATACACACCGTCCATACACAAACACTGGCACATGACTTTCATGGCTTCCAACCCTAACAGTTGAAGAGTGTCAGAAACACTTTGTGAGGTAGTTTTAGTGTGCCTGCCAGTGATTGTTGAACGGCACATGAGTCGATCGTTTTGTTTTTCTTTTCCTTTGGCTGTTTTAGCTGTCACAACTGTGGATCAATGCATGCAGGTCCACTTATCTTCCGCTTTCCCCTCTCTCCTGCCTTACCGCTTGCTAATGACAACAGCTTTCCACTCCTGAAAGTGCTGCTTGTAAAGTATGTCATCCATGATCCCCGTAATGATTTACTGGAAACCTTCCTCTTGGCTCGTGTCTTGTATATAAATGGAGATTTCTGTGTTTGGGTCTCATTACACAGATGATATTAACTCTCTTTTACTCTGTATACCATGATGAATAAGAATAATTGACCTGCTGCTTGGTTAAGTGTCACTGCAGAGTACAGAGTGCGGATCAGGAAGCAGTTTCGGACCTCTCGGCTCAGTGTGAGTAAGACGGTCATCCTGGACTGGGTACGTGACCCCAAGTCTGTGCTCTTGCTTGGAGTTGCTTGACAGAAGCAGAAACAGGTCGCAGCCTGTGATAAAGTCTTAAACTCAGTGCTCACGTTTATCTTTTGAGTGTTCTGGAGTTCTTTCTCATGTCTGTGGACACATAACAAAAGTTGTCAAAAAAAGAATCAAGCAAATAAATAAATGTGTTGAAAAACGTGTCTGCATTTGAATCTTGTGTGTTTGATTGTTACCGTGCACAGTTTAAATCAATAGTTGGGTGTGGAGTTCCCCTGGGATCTATTCTTGGTCCCCTGATGTTGACTCTTGTTGTCCTAGTTGGATATTATTGAATATTTTTTGACTATCTGGTTACAGTGAACTGTAGGAGATCATAACTACAGTGGTAACACTTCACTGGCATCTATCTAATACTAAGTCGTGTGGATACATGAGAGATGTTTAAAAAATAAGTCTTACATTTTCCTCAAAGCTTTTATTTTCCAGTTCCACACCAATGCACATTATTTATTTGACATTATTATCAGTTCTTGGTCTCATACTAAATACATTTATACAAGGAATAGGTAACTGATTTTAAACTTTGATATACAGTAATATGCAGAAGTCTTGAGCCACCCCTAATTGCTTTTGATTTTGCTTCAGTAGCCAGACTTTCATATCATTTTTTAGTCATCTAGTCCTTGTGGCATTTTTTAAGCCACTTAACACTGACCTAGAAATCATTTAAGCATAGAAAAGGTGCCTAACTCGAGGGATGAGCCATTCTTGTGTCTACACATAACAGATAAGTTATAAAGAAGCAGTTTTGAATATTTAGGCACTTTGTTACTAACAGCCTGTCAGAAAAAGACACAGTTTGCTCCCATTTATTTAGTTAAGCACTGTTTGACAGGCATAAAATAGCAATTTTGCAATTACAAGGTGATTTCCAAGGAGCTGCTAGCAGAAAACTCAGCATGGTGTGCTGTGTGTCCTTACAAATTTAAGGAAAACAGAAACAAACCAATTTAGTAGGTTATTTAATTTCAGTTTGTCGATTGCTTATCTCCAGCTAATCATACTTTTCTGACTGCCATGTGTCATAATGCTGTATATAACTGTACTTGCTCTGTCCAGTTTTGGCAGGTTGAACGTCTAAAGAGCCAGAAACGTGTCCGATAAAACATGACCCCAGTGAGAGACTGTTTTTGCTGACAGTGCAACCTGATAAATGGATAACATTATCATAAAGCTTTTCTATGTTCTTTTACATAATAATTTGTACTTTTGCTCAGGGTGAGCACATCTGCATGCCTTTGTGCAGCCCTCCATTATTGATCATGTGCTTACCATGTGCAGCAGGGCCAGTCAGGCTAATCCCCTGTAGGCAGTAAAACTGGGCTACACACAAAGGCCCTGGACTGGTTTAGCTGTCTGTCACCAAGCACCAACCAGTATCTTTATAAAGGTACTGTAGGTACTCACATGTTGTGTTGTAGTTCTCTTTTCATATCATCATGCCACATATATATGCATATGCATGCAAACTTTGCACACTTCCAAGAAATTTTAAAGACAGCCGCTGGTTAATTGAGGTTAACTTCTTTTTCAAGAAGCTTAGGCAATAACTTGATTCACAAATCTCTAAATACTGTGGGAGTGACAAAATATCCACCGTAACATTGATATTTACAAAATGAAATGTACTAATTACATTACTTATACATATATTGTTATATCATAGGTAATCATAGAATGTATATTTTTGTAGGCAGGGTTTAGTGTGAGGTTACAGACCCTTTCTCCATCTGTCAGGAATCTGGACAGAGGACACAAATGGATGGTGAGGCAGATTAAATTTAAAAAAAGCAAGGCTTTGTTTGGGCTGATGAAAAAGCCAAAAAACACAAAAAGTTCAAAAGAAACATGAAGTAAAAAGGAGGAGAATAAATTTCCACTGGTGCACTGACAGGGCAGCACATCAGATGAACCAACAAAGAAAAGGTGGTAAGCACAACTAAACATACACAGAGACTTGATCAATTCAGGAACCACCAAAGTTCAAATCTACCATGAACTGGAAACTGCTGGAAAGCCAGTGTAACTGTCCACAGTGAAACAAGTTTTACATCCTAATGGACTGAGAGGGTGCTTGACAGAAATTTGCACCTTCCCACATTTATACATGAACTGGTAACAGGTAGCTGAAGAAAAAAGTTTCAGGGTCAGACAAACCAAATATTGAGCTATTTGGCCACAATTACAAGATGTATGTTTGGAGTAATAAAGGTGAAGCGTTCAAACCTAAGAACACTGTACCAGCTGACAAGCATGGTGGTAACATCATGCTCTGGGGCTGTTTCGCTGCCAGTGGTGCTTGTACACTGGATAAAGTGGCTGAAAAAATGAAGAAGGACTATACTGAAAATTTGAGGACTGTGCTGGGTCAGTGCCAGGAAGCTAAATCAACGCTGCCAGTTCTGCTAAGAAGAGTAGTCAAATATGCAGCCAGAAGTATGTCAGAAGCGTGTTGAGTGTCTGGCTCAGGTGCAATTTGCTAAGGGATGTATAGATTTATATACTTTTAACCCTATGTGGATTAGAGACCATTAAAAAGAAATTCACACTTGTGCAGCCAATTCTTGTTTTTCTTGTTTTAAATACAATCCCAAATTACCATAACATTCATGCCCATGACAAGTAACTTCTGAGGACAACTGTACATTCATAGAGCCATCAGTCTATAGGCTACTTCCAGGTCCAGGTCACCCTATCCCACTGCTTTAATTATGCACACCAAGAAGGACCCCCATCTGTGTTTTTAGTCCAGGTGATGTTGTTCCTTGGTCTTTCTATTTATTGGCAGGTACTGAGTGAAAAGACAACCATCAGTTTCTGGGTTCTCTGTGTCATTATTCTATTTTCTAATATTTATTTATTAAAAAAAAAAAAAACAAAAGCAAACTTTCATCCAACTTTCATCTTGTGTCGGATTATTGGACTGTCAGGACTATATGGTAGGTAAAACATACATTCTGAAAAACAAAGGCTGATTAATACAACAGGAAAATAGAGAGTTCATAATAAGAGTGTGACACCTTTTTGAACATATATATTTTTCTCCACTGACTGTATTTAACCTTAGATGAGAAATCCTAAATTGAGAATTTCTTGTGTTTTGTTTGCTTTTTTATAAGTGGGGTGAAAGATATACAGCAATCACTTATAAACTGGTGAAAGTTGCAATACAATGTCAGTATTAAAGGAATCGATATATTGTTTTTAGAAAAGGCACAAAATGTGGTGCATATGCAAACAGCTTTTAGAGGATAGAAATACCAATAACAACAGGCTGTCTACATTTTTCACAAGTATTTTATAAAACCCTTAGCTACTAGGCTGTAAAAGCCACTCGTTGCTTTCAAAAGGGTACAAACATTGTAATTATCTGTGTAGTATTTAGCGTATTGGATGGCATGAAGCAGGATATCATGTCTCTCCCAACTCTAACATGCTTTCTCCTGCACTCTGTGTGGGCTACGCTACATTCGCTGATCAGTTTCCAGTTTCACCACCTATTCTTCCAAGTTCTACGAGTGCAGCCTGCATCTTTACATTAACTGTGAATGTGTGCGCATATGTGTGTGCCTATGTGTGTGTTTGTGCTTTAGAAGGTCTTGGTGTTTTAGCAGATTAGTTGGGAGCTATTTGCTGTTGTGTGGTCTGTGTCACATTTCTGCACTGGTGGGGATCCTCTTTTGCTGGTTTTACCTTTCTGTATCTACACATGTCATTTTCAGAAAGAGAAGATTCTGCATGGAGTGAATGAGCACAATCAACATGGAGAACAGCAAGGTGACCAGTCGTCCGTGTAGAGCCTAAAATGAAAGTTTTTACCTCAGAACAAACGTGCAGTATTTTTAAGAGCAGTCACTGACTAATAAAGTCACTAATTGCTGCAGAGCGTTGTAGACATAACTGAAAAGAAGCATTTGTGTTCAACTACTGTGGCAAATTAAAATACCTATTAATTTCAGTTCAATTTATATATTGCCAAATCACAACAACCTTTGTCTCAAGGCGCCATGAGTTTGAGTTTGTTTATTTAAATAAAAAGCAAAACAGATTTATTGTAAAAGCCTTTTGCTACATGTGTTGAACTGCCCCTTAAAGCACTGCTCATCCCCACTGTGTACATGTCCCCAGCAGCCAGTGAAGGAGGTGCCCCCCCTGCCTCGCCACCCGACCCCTCTTCCTGTGACCTCTTCCTCTCTGACCCCTGCTGTCACTTCAAAACACCACACCACAGGCTCCATCCAGCATGTGCAGGTGGCCTCATCAGGTGACAAACACATCCAGCATATTTGCATTTATTTATGTATTTGTTAAAGTAATGTAAGAATATGAAAATGCAGCCATTTCATGTGTAACTGACAGCCTTGTCCCTGTTCTTTTCTTATACTCATGATCACACTAGATATCTGCAGGTAACACAGGATTTCACATACAGATATATATGTAAGTATATATAATGTTTGTTTACTTGTTTACAGGGTGACATCGTTCAATCATCTGAGGCCTCCAGAGAGGGACCTTACGCCGTTCTCTCAGATGAAGTCTGTTAAGTCTCTGAAGCATGCCGGCTTCACTGCGGTCTTCACTGGACAAGCGGTGAGCTGGCTGGTGCATTGTTATGTACCGTAGCAGGCCGTACCGTAGCAGGCCATCTGCTAATTGGACGGTTGATGGTTCGATACCTGGCTGTTCCAGTCTGCATGCCAAAGTATCCTGACCAAAGTACTGAACCCCAGGTTGTTCTCTGATGTTGTTCCATCTAAGTGTGAATGTTACCTAAAAAACAATTAAGCAGATATGTGTGTGTATCTATCTATCTATCTATCTATCTATCTATCTATCTATCTATATGTATATATAAAGTGCTTAGGTGAATGAAACATATTGAGTGCTCACATAGAGTAGAAAGGTGCTATATAAGAACCGGCCTGTTCTTATATAGCACAAAAAATAACAATAAATTCGTTATGAGCACCGCCCCCTATTTACACAATAACCCAGTCTAAAAGTGGATTCCCTGGTGCTGCTGATGGAAACCTGGAATGGACACATTCATCCATTTTTTAATCATCCATCCATCCATCCATCCATCCATTCTCTTCTGTCTTCTGCTTCCTATTTAGGGTTGTTGGGGGCTGGAGCCTATCCCAATGGATGTTGGGATATTATTCACAGATCATGATCTTCTTCCCACGGAAATGACAGCAATGTCCTCTACATAACACCGTGTGACGTTACCAGAATGTAACCTGAAAAGTGAAGTGCCTTAAACTGAATTCTTCCAAATGACCAACAGGGGGCGACTCTGGCTTCAAAAAATCAGACTATCGTCTAACCCATAGGTGTCAAACTCTGGCCCCAACCTAATTACATTTGGCCCACAAAGCCATACCAAATTACTATTAGAGCTGGCGTACTGGTATTATACAGCTAATATATATATTGTTTAGTATTAAGCTTTACTTGTTGCATATTCAGATTTTCAGCAAAACTTGTTTGAGTCCATAAGAAGAGATTCATTCTTAAATCTGGAGGAAGATTTTTTTTTCAATAAATATTAATGTTAGCCCGTGACCTTGTTCCAGTTTTGAATTTTGGCCCACTGTGTATTTGAGTTTGACACCCCTGGTCTAACCTAACCCTAACGCAGACTGAGTCTATAGGGGAATGATATTATTTCGACCTCAGTAAACACATTTTGCCAATTATTGTTTTTAGACTTTATTATAACAGAAATATTTATTATAACAGAAAAGCTGAGAACTGAGGGGGAAGATACGCAGAAAATGACAACAGTGAATTGAAATCCCTGCCTCTACAATAGCCTTTCGAGAAATCAGTTATCTGTGCAACCCAGTGAGCTAAACCAGCAGTCTGATGAGTCTGACATCATCGTGAAAGAATAAACTGTCTTTATTAGGAAAAATGTTTATGAGGATTTAATTTCAGGGATTTTATCTTCAGAGCCGGAGCTCAGTACTTTCCCTCTGTCTCACATTATTGCGCGGTGACAGAAGCTTGACGGTGGGGAGGTGCCGGAGGAGTTACCGATTGTCGACGTGATCCTGGCTGACATTGACTCCCTCGTGCCGACACATGATGAAACAGGCCATCCTATTGCCGAGTGGAAACGACAGGTGATGGTGCGACAGCTGCAGGTCAGGCTGCAGGATGATGAGGAACAGAGGAGACAGGTACTGTCCAGCTTTTATACTGCACTGTGTATGCAAAATTCCCAAAGCGTTGAGCTACTTGCTTAAAATCCATATTGTTCCCTGTAACAGGACATAGCTAATGGCTACATGCCAGTTGACGGCTGGAAGTACTCCCAAGCCCACAACGCAGTCTTGGGACCCTTCGGTGAGCTCCTAACAGAGGATGACCTGGTGTACCTGCAGCAGCAGATTGAGTCTGTTTCACATCAGAAACGCTGCCAGGCGTATGAGCTGGAGCTGACCAGGCTGACTGAGGAGCTGAGGGCAATTTTACCTGATCCTATTGTCAACATTTCCCTCAACAGAGAGGTTCTGCAGCAGATGGACTCTGAGGGGAAAATGCAGCTGACTTTGCCAATCTGGTGCAGCCGTGTCTCAGAGATTATCAAGAATATGTCTCTCCTGGTGGCTAATCTGACTCAAATCACAGAAAAAGATGGTGAGATGGGGTTAGTGGAGGGCATGGTGGAAGGGAAGAAGGGTTTACAGAAGATAAAAGGTAACCCAGGAATTGAACTGGGACAGGGATTAGTGCAAGCCCATGTGGAGGCCTCCGGTGTATGTAGGATACCTCACATAGGGATGGCATCTGCTTTTAGCCATCGTTTGGAGAGCAACAGCTACAGAAGAGCACAAAGGGAAAAGGTGGAAAGGGAGATCCAGCAGTCTGGAGTCTCAGTTAGAAACCTCAGATCAACCTTTGAGGGTCAGATTGGTGGCATTTATCCCTTTGCTGGGGTTATAAAAGCAGGAGGGGGGTTGACGAACCAGGCTGTAAATGGAGCTTCAAGCGGAAAGAACAGCGATGTCAATACAAACTTCAAATGTGAGGTTGACCAACCTGACACTCCTAAAACAGCTGCACCTGTAATGGAAACGACCAGCTTAAGAAAAGAGCGAATCGTGGTGCTGTTCCTGAGCCACTGGAAGAAATCTGCATATGCTATTACAGTGAGAGCAGCAAGGCAGAGGCAGGGACAGGCTGCAGCGCCAGGAAGAGTGACAGAAGCACAGCCCCAACAGAAAATCCCCTCCATGTTTCAATTCTGCCAACAACGAGGTGCTGTGGATAAAATACTGAACTCCTGGAGAAATAAACTAGAACTTAGAGAAGTGCAACCTTTACCTCCCTTTAGCGTTTCACAAAATCCTCCACTTTGTGTAACTTACTCCCCAGAACAATTCCTTCCAGATGTGGATGGTGTTGCAGTGAGCCACGACACCTTGACCCTCGATCTCTTTATGCTGGGTTACTTTCACATCTTAGAGCAGGATTTGTCAGCTGAGGAGAGGAAGATGAGACACCTCCTTTGCTTTGAGGTCTTTGACCATGTTGGCAGTTTTCCTTGGGAGAAGGTGCGGGACTTCCATAAGGCTGTCCTCCAGGAGATCCAGGCTGGGAGGCGACAGTGGAGCGACGGCTTCGAGGACATCAAATTTCACTTCTTTGGTGATTCAAATCCATGCCACTGTCCACCACCACCATCATCATCATCATTGCTGCCAGATTCCAAATTAGTACCCAAAGTTATAGTTCAAAGTGCTACTCCGAATGAGCACTGCAGTGACACAGACTTCTCCTGCTTCCACAATGAAGACATTTGTAAATATATCGACCGCAGTTTTGCTTTCTGGAAAGAGAAGGAGGCGGAGTTGTTTGACTTTGAACATTAAGTCTGCTTGTTAAACGTGATGCTTTTGCACAGATTGATGTTGGTGTGTTTGTTTTGTTGAACTAATAAAATTTGATGCGTTGTATTAAAAGGTGTGACTGATAAATAGATGTAGTTATTGTGTAGCTAGAAAGTAATGTAAAAAAAAAAAAAGTGATTTCCCATTTTGTTACACTGACAAAGTTACAGCAAACATTTCATACAGTTTAGATACTGTTTTCAGTTTAGATAATTTGAGGGGTCATTGCAATTTGTTTGGACTCTATTTAAAAGGACAGTGCAGTAAAAATACATATCGAAAGGAGTTTGATGATCATGTTAAATGTGTCCCAGCATATGAAAACAATATGTTCTCGGCTGTGTAAATTGACAGCATCTCTTATTAACAACACACACTGTGTAAAAGTCGGCTACCCTGTGTTAGAAACCAGAAAGTGCTGAGTTTGAAAGGCAGGGAGGATCTGATAAAATACGTAGATGCAAAAGATGCACGTGCCTCTCAAACCGCAGTTATGTTAGAACGGAAGTGCATCTCCTGTCAGTTCTAAGATTTTATGTATTGGGAGTTAATAGAGAAATACAAAACATTAGACTGTAAACATTAAGCCAAGATGCAGGAGAAATGTAGTACACTATCACCATCTTCAATGGAAATAAGAGGTTAAGTAGCAGTCACGTGCTACTAATCAAATACACTTAATTAACTGATAATCAGCCAGTGTGAGCGCCTCTATAAAAGCAGAAGTTTTGGCAGTCTGCTGCTTTGGAACATTGAGCTTTGAGGTGTTTGTTATTACAATGCCAAAGAGGAAAGAAATAAGCAGTAACCTTAGAATAGCAACTGTTGCTGCCCATCAATCTGGGAAGTGTTAGTTTAAGGCCTTTTCCAAACAGCCAGTCTTCCCAGGAGTGGATGTTCGAGAAAATACAGCCCAAGGTCAAATTGCAGAAAGGGTTGTCAAGAGAAAGCCTCTCCTTAAAAAGAACATGGCTGCATGGCTTAGGTTTGCAGAGTTGTATCTTTAACAATAATCTTAGGACCGATGAGTGAAGATGTTTCACCATAACGCACAGCACCACGTTTGACAAATACCAAACACAGCATAGCAGCACAAACATCTGGCTTGAATGACGAGTCAGCATACAGAAGATGTTGAGATTCCCACTGGAAGTGAGCAGGATGGACAAGATCAGAAATGAGTACATCAGAGGGACAGCTCAGGTTGAGTGGTTTGGACATTTGCAGAATGAGGAACAGTGGATATACTGGACAAAGGGTGTTAAATATGGAGCTGCCAGGCAGGAGGAAAAGAGGAACACCTCAGAGAAGGAGTGCTCCCTTCAGGGTGGAAACAGTGAGACACTGTACTATGATATATAAATACTTACTTGTGAGTAAATGAATTGCATTTAATTTTTTTATAATAGAGGAGCATGGAGCAAATGCACAAAATGTGTAAAATTTAGCATCATAAATGACAACAGACTATAATCTTCTCACGGGAGAAGTCATGGCAAACGAATTTCTCATGTTTTTGTTTCAAAAATTAATAAAATGATTAAATTGGTTACGATGTTTCAAACAGGATAACTGATCATTAACTTCTTAGAACTCAGAACTAGTCATTAGTAGTGTTGCTGGGCATTTTCATTCATACCAACATCCCATTTTAGGAAATTATATTAAATATATATTAAAGTTACATTTAAATGTTTTATATGGCTGGTGAATAAATAAAAATTACAATATTTATTAAATAACTGTATTTTTAAAATCGTCTCTTAGGTGTTTCTCTTATTTACCTTAAACTAAAAATCATGGGCGTTTTTAATTAGTTTATGTCCAAGAAAAAACAAAAAAACAAAACATAGTACAGCTTCAGGCCCAATAAAAAGGTGAGGGACTGAGATAGGTGAGGTCGCGCAGGCGCACAAGCTTCCTAAATTGACAGGAGGATGCTGAGCTGCATTCCCATCATTCTGTGAGGAGAGGAGGATCCCCCTGCGCAGGCATAGCGGGCGAGACACCGAGCGATAAAAACATATAAAATTAATCCAAGTCGAGCTGTTTATCTGCCACCATGTCCGCTGGAGGAGACCTGGGGAACCCCCTGAGGAAATTTAAACTCGTGTTTTTGGGAGAGCAGAGCGGTGAGTCAGAGCTCGGGCGGGTTTGGGTCATCCTTATCAAACATGCGCATGTATCGAGGGCCATGTATGCAATCCGTGATCATTTTGGGAAGTTTAAAGTGAATCCAGAAGATGTTTCTAGTGGCTTTGCTATATTAGACGCCCATGTTGCCCCTGGTATAATTTGTAGCTGTGGGATTTTGATTAACCTTTTAAGAAAAAGAAAGAGAAATGGCTCTGATATAAACGCAAATTCTTGTATATCACCTAGAGCGCTTTTTGTTGTTGTTTTTTTACTTGCCGCAAAGTGGCATCACTGGAAGCAGGCGCTGGGAATTGTGGTGTTTTGATGTGCTGCAGTGACCAACAAATATGCCCAGCCTTTTCCAGATAACGCTATATTTCCCCATACATCGCTTATTTCTGACACAAACGACCCTTTGTTGTGTTATATGACAGCGTTTAACATTTCCCCACCACTCGATGGCTATTATTTTTTTCTTTTTAAAGAAGAAGAAGATAAGCGGTCCCCCATGTGTCAGTTCGGGACACACCCTAGGCTGGCGATGTCTGTGGCATCTCTAAACCTCGCGGTCTCCGATTCGGTCCCATAAATAATCAAATAAAAGAAAAAACGAGAGCTTGACAGCGCCACGATAATATACCAGGGCTATTTAATTCAATAATCCGTGTATTCAGGGTGTTATCGGCTGTGTATGTGCGTTGATGTGATGGCACAAATTCAGGAGGAGCGGATCGATAATGGTTTAGCGCTGTAAAGCTGCCCGAATACGTGTTCAGACATCAGACATCCAGAGTGGCAGCAGAGGAGCTCTTATCCCATTAAAAGCACGAGCAAAGACTAGAAAAACACATAATTAGGCCTAATATTACAGCAGCTTGGCCTGTTTGTGTCTTACATTGTGATGCTTTAGTGTGTGTGTGCGTGTGTGTGCTGCATGTCTAAGACAGAGCTGTGTGTCGACTGAAAAAAGCCTCACGGTGTGTTTGCGTGGCCTGTACTGCAATGTTGCTGTCCACGGTGCTGAAAGGAGGCCTGGTGTGGCCACTGCCCATCGCTGGCTTCAGGAGTACTGCTGTCTGCGTACTGTGCATGAGGCCCTTCTGGAAAGAAAAAAGTCCTGTCCTCACTCATGTGCGGATCTGATGTAAAATGGTGCTGCTGGGAGGGATGTAAATAAAAATGGAGATCACTAGGCTCACCTTGATCCTCTGAGATCAAGTCTCCTTCGGCATCAGTCCAATGAGCATTAACAGCCGGTCTTTTTGTTACCGCGGTCACATTTCTGGACACAGTTTGTGTTTTCGTTGCAGTCACCTCTCACATTATTTTCAAGGATAAAAGACAGGATGGGAGGGGGAAGACTACTTATTGTATTTAAATTGTTCACCTTTGGTTGTATGGTGAAACTATAGCACTGAGTAGTGACGGAAATACACAAAAAAGAAAGGAAAATGCAAAGGAGAAAGAGAAAGCGAAGAAAATACACACATAAATCATGACTAAATGGGAAAACACATAAACGATTAGCACAAAACATACAAACATTTCACAAAAAACAACGTCGCAACATTACTTTGAGATTTTGGTTCTTATCTGAAACCTTGAAGTGGAATAACATTTGAATTTCACTTTAGATGTTTGCATTGTTTAGAGGCGTACATGTTTCTGTGAAGAGGAACATTTACACATTTGATAACAGGAAATCTAAGATAGCAGATTTTTCTTACTTTGAACTGAAATCCATTTTGCTGCCCTTATTTTGAGCTATTCATTGATTCATACTCACATATTAACTCAGGCATATTTTTGGTGAATTACCGGGCAGATTTTGTTCCAGTGAGTCATAGATTTTTTCTCCCCCCTCCTTAATTCCTTTTCATTTTTACTGGCTTGATAACTGGCACTGGTTAAATATTCATATATAACTGTGGTGTTGTCACATCAATGAAGCATATTTTCATTATGTTGATTGAGATCATATATCGATGTGTCCGGACCCTGAAACCAACCTGTGTGTGCTCTGTTTTAGTGGGGAAAACGTCTCTCATCACTAGATTCATGTATGACAGCTTCGACAACACATATCAGGTGAGATCTGGAACAGATCCAGAACCTAAAAACAATTTAAATTATTAAGCAGCATTGATTGATGGCGTTGCTGATTAGCATCTATACGAAAGAGGTATTGGTGGTATTGCTTATAATTGTAAAAGAAATTCAATTTTTCTTTTGGAGGTTGAAGGTTAATATGGGACCGTCATTGCAGCGAGTGCTTTTTGGTCAAAAACAGTCAGTATATTAGATTTTCACGAATTATGTCCTGATCTGAATCATGCCATTTATTCAAACATGATTAGGAACAGCATTGCAGCACTATTAGTTTCTTTAAGAAGAGAAAATATATCATTCCTCCTTCGCCTTTCTCAGAAGTTTGGTACATAACAAATCTGAAGGATTGGGCCCTGAGGGCAGCACAAATTAAATTAGTGTTTTAGTCAGATTCAATTTCTGTGCTTGTTGGCTCCCTTTTTTCCCCTTTCTTAACAGCTTTGTGTATTTGAACAAAAATCACTCTGCTAGAGACAACAGATGGTGCAGAGAAACATTTACATTTTAATGTCTGGGTTTTTGCTGATGATTTTCTCCCCCTCTTTTGTTCTTTCCTCTCCACAGGCGACCATTGGAATTGACTTCCTATCGAAGACAATGTACCTGGAGGACCGGACAGTAGGAAACCTTGATCTACATTTTTAAAATTCTCATTTCTAAATACATGCGCAGATGACTAGAGGTTTTAAGTAGGAAACAGCCCAATTTCTTCTCTGCTTTGACTAATCCTTGATTTG